TTCGACTAGGAGGGCATGGCATTTTACCAGCTGTGGAGTTATTGATTTCACATGAGCTGGCAGGCGGTCCTCTGTCGCCTTAGGGCATTGTGCCACCGCTTACTTTGATCGCAACCTGCATTTTCCGGGGCTTCCAGCCAATAAAAGTCGGAAGAGCAAATTGTCACATGACCTGATGGATCCCAGATGTCTCCTGTTGGCACGAAAAATCAGGTGAATGAATTATCACACAGCTCGACCGATTGCACACTGCTGTCGTACGAGGTTCAGCCAGTGGATGGCAGAAGAGCCGCATGAAAGCCCGGGGTGTTGCCAGCTGTAAGGCTCCATATAATGTCTTGATAGGGGGCGGCACAGCGCCAAAGGCGATTCAAGCCTACGAGCACGATAATTAGTGTTTATTAAAAGAAAAAGTTCCCGAGACTGCTTCCCTCAGAGGTCCGACATGACGAGGGAGGGATGGAGGAATGCACGTAGCTGCATCCTCTATGCACTTTTAATATTCACTTCTAGTTGCACACAACATTTAGCGCACACGCACGCCCCGCTGCGTGTGCTTGTATCAAGCTAACACTACTCTGCAACATGCCAGGTGTACGAGCAGAGAAACCAACTAATAAATACTTATTTTTCACCTTCTCCTACACTAGTTATACTTATTTTTTAGGTGTAGCCTTGACCGCTACGCAATAGGAAACCGACGTAAACAAGAATCTTGTACTGGTTGTAAACAGTGCACAAGCAGTACTCTGCTGCGTTCCTGAGTCATGAAAAAGGTGGATCTGTGCATATAGCCACATTAGTGTCAATTTATTCCTTCAGACAGCCATTGCCTGAAAGTGGAGTAATAAGCAGTGCCCTGAGCCAAATGCAACCTTAAGAGGAAACACCAATATTGCGAGGGTAAATACCACTCTCAGGCTACAGTGACTGTGATACGTATCTTTGGCGATGTTGGGCCCTGCTGCTAGCCTTCGAAACAGAAGACAGGGAAGTTGAACGAGAGGTGCATGAGGGCGCTGATTGCTCTGCAAAGTGCGCCATAGAGGACGCACTACTACTGCTGCTTCTGGAAGCTGAGCGCCTTTGGATCTCTTTCAAATGCTCCCTCTCGTGACAGTAGCCGCACGCCTGCCCCTGCGTGCACCCTCCAGATGGCAGCAAGAAGGGACAGGGCATGCATCGATTCTCCCGATGAATCTGCAGCGCTCGCTGTTGTCGTGCCTCAGAAGTAGAGCGCCAGAGGCCGGTCTCCCCAATCCGCCCGATAAAACGCGGGCTGCGGGCTCCGGAGATCCCAGGCTGCACATACGCACAAACATACTCACACTCCTAGAGCCAGAAAATACAAATCTCGTCCCCAGGACTACAGCTACGTGATGACTGGCACTAGATACGTTGGCCAATGCAAAAAGGAACAGGAGCGGAGAGACATCTGCGGAAGAGATGTACAGGTTAACAGAAAACAAGGGAAGAGAAATGGGAGCTGATGAGTCCATGCTGGGGAGGGCTACGTGCATCTAGCCACAGTAAATCCAAGCTCGCAGGAGGGAATGCAACAGTGCGAGAGACAGTACAGAGTGCGACTGTCTTGAAACAAAGCGGGAGGAAACTCTTCGTCTCCTGCTGCTGCTGCTGCTGCTGCTCCTCCTGCTGCTGCTGCGGCTCCTGCTGCTGCTGCGGCTGGAGCCCCGGCTACCACTGCTGCCCTTGGATCTTCTGCTTCTAAGATGGCTCCTTCTGCGACTGCTGCTGCGCGTGCTACTGCCACTTGAACTGCTGTATCTGCGGCTACTGCTAGACCGCCTCCCTCTCGGTCGCACCCGGCTTCTATGGCCGCCTCTCTGGCTGCTGCGGTCCCCGCTACTTCTGCCGCTTCGGACGCTGCTCATACTGCTGCCCCTGCTGCTACTGCTCATCGAACCAGAGTCCGAGCTGCTCCCTACTGAGCCACTACTGCTATTGGTGTGGCTGCTACGGCTGCTACGGCTGCTGCGGCTGCTTCCACTGTAGCTGCTCTGGCTGCTTCGACTGTAACTGCTCCCGCTGCTTCCACTATAGCTGCTCCCGCCGCAGCTGCAGCTGCTGCTCCTGCCACTACTGTCTGACGGAGAGCACTCCCTCCTCGTTTTATTGGCTACCTTCCGGCCCTGAATGCCTCTGCGTCTGGTTGCCGCCCTCCTATGTCTGCTCCTACCCCGGCTGTGGCTGCTGCTCCTACCTCGGCTGCTGCTGCTACCGCAGCTGCTGCCACTACCGCGGCTGCGGCTGCTGCTTCTACTGCGGCTGCTGCTGCTACTGCGGCTGCTGCTGCTACCGCAACTGCGGCCCTTGTTTCTGTGTCCGCTTTCACTGCGTGGAGAACTACTGCGGCGGCTGCTTTCTCTTCTTTTGATGCTGCGTGCCGAAGAATGACTCCGACCTCTCATATCTATAATGCTGCTACTGCTGTGGCTTGCACTCCGTCTGCTGCATGCAGAACTGTCCTTGCTACTATGCCTACTGCTCTGTCGGCTGTTGCGCCGCTTACAAACACCATCGCTTCCTCCGCTATCTCTGTCTCGGTCCGAGACGGATGATCCGCTGTTGCTGCTTCTCCTGCTGCTTCTGCTGATGCATCTGCCGCGTGACCTCGCTGATCGCACCGTGCTGCTGCTTCTGCTCCCGCTATCTCTGTTGGTGCTCACACGACGTAAAGCACAAGCAACGTTTTTGCTTCTTGGGGTCCTGGCTTCGCGAATTGCAGCAGCAGTTGCCACTGGTACTGCTGCAGCTACTGTTGCTGAGGCAGCAGCCGCTGCTGCAGCCTTCCTCGCCTCGATCACCTTTGCTATCCTGCTCTTCTCAGGCTGTTGTTCCTGCTTCTTGGTGTGCTCCTCCTTTCTAGCTTTTGGCGATTCCTGCTGCTTATGGCCGTCAATCCGTCCACCGCTAGCACTGGCAGGTGCTGCGCTGCTGCTTGCTGGGGTGTCTCTTTTCTTACTGCGCGAAGCCGACGCAGCTGCGGAAGCGGCTGTTGCTTGAGCCGGTGCTCCTTCCGCAACTGCATCCCCTGCATTCCGAGGCTCCAATGCATCTTCTTTAGAAACTGTCGCGACGTTCTTCGGCTTCTTTGTGCGCTTCGCTGCCTCTGCCGGCGATGGCTCAGCAGCAGGCGTCACAATGCCGCTGCGGCTGCCCTTACTGCTGCTGCTTGCGCCCTGCACCGTCGTTTCCTCCTTTTTGTTGACCTTTGTCTTGCTGTGCGTCGGCTTACTTTTGTCCTTGTCAGTACTACGCTTACTTTTGCTCCTTCGCCCTTTGGACGGCTCTGAAGCTTCGGGGGCCTTTGGGGCCTCCTGAGGGCTACGCGGGACCCTGTCAAAATCTGCATCCGAGGGCTCATCATGTTCTGTCATCCACTCCGCATCGGAAGCAGCATCTTCTGCTAAGAGCGTCTCCATGGACTGCCAGTCCTTGTGGTCCTTCCAGTTGCACTCCTCCAGCGCCGTCTGCACGGCCACGCGGGCTGCCGTATTAAGCCGACGAACTCTGCAGGAAACAGCGAAGGAAGCGGGAGAGGCAAATGGAGGACAACGCGCTCGCGAATTTTACACTGGAGAGAGAGGGCGGTCGATGGGAACCTGCCTGCCCATCTAAACAGCTGCAAGCACTGAGCCAACAAGTTCCACATGCACTTGCAGGCTCAGCTTGCCCCCAGCGCATGGGCTTGCAAGTCCCTGGCTAGACACGCAGAGTCATCTAAATCCATGCTTGCATGCGTGCGCAGTAAGGCCATAATGCTGGTACTAATACTTGGTACGGGTTGCCGCGAGAAACTCGCAAACTGAAAAACAGGCAAAACGGCCCACCCTGGAGCAACTTCATCATAGGCCAACCGGAAATCCCGAATTCTTGAAGGCAGTACCCAACAGTAAGAGTTGATCGCGAGGCCTAATACCTGAAGCGCAGCAAGTCGCAGAGGCCTTGCAGCATAAAAGGGGTGAACGGCGGACGTGAGATGGGCAGAAAAGGGAAAAGAGTGGCACAACAGGGCCACGGGAGAAAAGCGCACTGGACAGAGGAATGGAAAAGAGTCAAGAGAAGCAGCGAGTACGCCCGGGTGCAAAAACAAGAGCCTACAAAACAGACATCAGGCATTACATTGTGCAGTAACAGACGGCTCGAAAATAGTGTTCTCACCAGCACGCGACCTGGTCTGTGCTTCTTCAGCTCATCAGGAAGCGGGGGGTTCAGAAACGGGTCCTCGGGGCTGCACAGCAAGCCAGTCCACCAGGGATGGCCGTTCTTCTTGTACCATACTAGAGGCTCCCCGCGCTTCCCCACGACGCGAGAAAAACTCTGCAAGTACTGCTTGTTCGTGGGGCTCTTTTTTACAGTCAAATGAAGCAAGGACGGTAGTTTTGCCCTTATCTTCTTGCAGGCGTTGCCTGATAACAAGGACCGCCATTCATCAAAACAGCTCAACAATGGGCATTCCATGTGGTCATCCCCCTTGTAGTGACATAAGGGGGTAGGCAGACAATTTGTGGTCAATCACTAGAATCCCGCGTGCATCTCTTTGACACCCATATATATTCAGGAAGCTTGCATAGCAGTGCTTCTATTCGAAAAGTGCCACACTCGATATCGAGCTTTACAGGTCCTCTCACCATCTGCAGAGACGCCAGTGGTCCCCGGGACCTTCAGACCACGCTTCTCTGGCATTGCAGTTCACCCAGGTTAAAGGAAAGCGGCGAAGTTCTCCGGCGTGGAGATAGCCCTCAGGTCCTTAGCAGTCAAAAGACTGGCAGCCCAGCCGTCTAAACAATAATCTGCAGCTGCATGCTGCAAGAGGTCAGCTAGAGACCGATCAGTGTAGGCGATGAAGGAATTAAGACAGGCATAAAGGAGCAAGTCCCAACAAGCCCGTGTGAGGCTGGAACACCAAAGGTCCCGCGGGGATCACCCATATGTGGCTACTTCTCGCTCCAGGGCTTCTGCAGCCTTGATTCTAGCAATAAGTTAGATCAAGGGAAAAAAGGAACAAAAAACCCTATTGCGGTGGACTCCTTCCTTCTGTGGGCTTGGAAGCGTAAAGCCCTGACCTCAGAGTTGCAAGCACTGGTTTAGGGCTGGAAACCGAGGCGGCCGCTGCCTTATTAACTTGCTGCTGCCCCTCTTTAACGCTCACTGTCTATAGGACAGCAGTTGACATTACGAATGTTTTTTGGAATGCAGCGATCTGGTATGTCTAGCAAGGACAAGATCTCCATGCTGTATGCGCGTGACCTCTTCGCAAGAACAGAAAATTGCTTTGCTGGCGCCTGTTCTGCAAAGTGCCTTGCTGATTTCCTTTTAAAAAACGGATGCTACTCGGGGCCAGTTCCATTTGAGAGCCTTTAGGGCTACTTTGGATCTACAGAGACCTTATCTGCCTTTTCCGCAATAAGGGATTTCGGCACCATGGGACGGCCATGCTTCAACAGCCTGTATGTTACGAGCTACGCTCCACATGAACAATCCCCACAGCATTAGTTATATCAAATAAGACCTAGTGAACAACTAACTACTTGTTTTTTCCTGTTCGTATAATTCTGATGTACAGCAACAGCTGCTAGCTCGACACTCCAAGTAGGAATGCTGTGGGTATGTAGCTAGATGCCTTCTGCAACCAGCTATTGGCGCGCGAATTGCGGAGCGAATGTAACTACGCGCACCGTAGTTGTCTGTCTTTCTTGCCTCTGGGAACTGGGAAGAGCGCGGGGAGAGGTAGAGGGGAGCTAGTTTAAGAAACACTGAGTGGTTGTCTATTGAGATCGTGGTGAGTCTACAATCAAGCCTCTTCCTACGAAGACAGATATAGTCGTCCACTTGGTAGCAATGCAGGGTTGAAGGCAGCTGTTCCCTCTCATTTACTGCCTGTCGAATCAGTTGGGCGACAGACATTTCTGCAAAAGCTCCCTGTTTTTGGTCGAATCAGTTACCGATCCGAGAACTCGGCTTCTCTGGCATCTCGTTCGGTACGAGACCTTCTGACGATACTCCTGACACTGACACAACGCCTGCTGGGGCACCAGAGGCCCGCCTGCCAGCTCATGTGAAGTCAATAACTCCACAGCTGGTAAAATGCCATGCCCTCCTAGTCGAAAAATGTATATAAAGGCGTCGACGAGGGAAGGCCGACCAGAAAACATGGTGGCCATGAGGATGAGCAAGTACTCAAAGACACG